CGGTGGTTTTCCCAGTTCCGGGAGAAGCAATTATCTTTATATTCCTCTAAAATTAGAGAATTTGAAAGTCACCATTCGAAATCAACTCGTGGGTTTTGGTGGGTTTTCTCTTAATTTTCCAGATTCCGAAGAAAAAATCTTGAATTTTCCTCAAGATGTTTGGGTGTGACTGTTTTTACTGGAGCCAAGGAATCTCCGAATTGGATTTTGAATCATTCGAGTCAAAGCCTTTCTCGCTTCCGTCTCCTCTTCCTTGTTGGCCACAAGGTACACACAAAAAAAAAACTTTCTTTTACTGGAAATTGCAAATTATCTATCTATACTTATGAAATTGAAGCTGCAAATGGAACTCTTTTTACTTATGTCTCGCATGAGTTAGTTATATTATCATTTAGGGAAATTTTCGTTTTTATTAAAATAAAGTGTGTCAAGAATTGCCATGTTCATCAATGTGAAGAACAATTTCAATTTTTGGATAATTTTGGGAGGAAGGATCAAGACATAGAGTTTGGTTTAATCAAATAATTGAGTGTGATTAGTCATAATATCGATATTTTATCTTTCATGCTTACTTAAGATAATATTTGATTAGTCATCCATGGTCCATCCTTTCTTGGTTAATGACTTAATCTTATCTTGTTTTCTGACTTAATTTTATATAATTTTTGGATAAGAGAATTGTTTTCTGGTTTATTGGAAGTGTAGACTGAGGAAGATGCTTTGGAATATTCTGCAGCATTGTCTTTTTCCTCCTTTGTTTGACTCTGATACAAGCTTTTGTCTTAAAATTGAACTAGATGATCAAAAATTATGATTTAATATTGTGAATTTTTTAGTAGCAATTAGCTTTTTAATTAGGTTTATGTTTCACATTATGACATACCAAAAGGAAGATTTGATGGTAAGAGATCGAAGATAGARACAAGAAATTTTTTTCCACATACCATTTTTCAGTGTTTCTCAAACTCATTTAAATTTTCTCAAACTCATTCAAATTTTTGGCCAACATACAAATTTCAGTGTTCTTTTTTTTT